GGTCGGCTTCCGTACCGTTACACTGACGTGAAGGATCCATTACAACTGTCAACACCTGATTGGGAAGTTATTGCGCCTAGCATGCTTTGGTACATGGCTGTGATCATATCCGCTTTGCTGGAAAGATGAAAGCCATGTTTCGCTTCCGTCATGCCCATCACAGCACGGCAGCCTGCCTGACCCCTAGAACTGTTCAGGATCAGTTTTGAGCTTAAGCTCGGCTTGTTCACGACTCAAAGACTTCAAAGCTGCATTAATCTGTTCACTTTGACTGAGTTGCGGTGAGCATGTACTGAAGCACTTAAGACTGGCAGCTCTAGTATGGAGACATGGTGTACTGCTTGAGAAAGGAGAATAACAGGTCTGTTGGCTGACCTTTTCCATCTCCTGTGAGTAACAGGCCCTCCAGGTTCAGTAGGAAACAGGCATGTTTTGCAGACTGCCCCTCAGATTCAACTGTACAGCGGGGGGTCCCAAGACCATGCTGGGCGGAACATCCATGGAATGTGGGCTCTGAGCACTTTCTTGCATGTCCATCTGCTCTGTTCAATCCCGAAACACTTGCTTCTACTGTCAGCGGCGTGCCCCTTCTCACGAGTGGACGTGTTGTCGCTCCGAGTCCTTGTGGAGGCTGACTTGCCAGGTCTTCCATAGTAATGTGCTAATCCGGAAGCGCTGCAATATTGTTCAAGGCTAGCACTTAAAACCCTATGTTTTTGAGACAGAGGGCCCAGCCTTCCAGTTTAGTCCTGCAGTATGCAAAGAAACTCCCCAGATCCCCAGCTAGCCTAGACCCCTAGCTTTTGAGGCCAGAAGGCCAGGCCGTCTGTCCCCTAGTCTTCTCAGCCCCTGCCGGACAACTTTGCAGCTCAGAAGGGCTAATATACACCTAAGGAACAATGGCGTCCATGCTTTTTACCTCTCGCTGAGCTCCCCGTGCAACTGCCAACTTTTTGGTTTTCTGCACCTAGCTGCGATAAGAAGTATTGTGACTGTCAAAGCTCAGGAACTGCCAACTGGCCCCAGTTTAACCGTTTTTGAATTCAAATTTTGGAAAGGACACAGATCGTTCGATTCGAAGGCGCTGGCCGTTCGATCTGATCCTTGCGAAAACAAACCCGCTATACTACAACTCAACACCGCAGGCTAAACCTGCACGGTCAGTACGTACACAGGCATACGGGTGTTTTGTACTATACCTAAGCCGATTTTCTAGTGCCTCTTTCGCACACTTCGCATGATTCGCATGGTCTGTTCCCGGGGCCATCGCATGCGAAACTTGGACTGTCGCCAGGTAAAGGGCGACATATACTGTAGCTCCTTTCGGAACCTTTTCCCATTGCAGGTCTCTAGTCATGGCTTCAAGTTCAAGTTTAGGCTTTTCACCCATTGCTTGAAATTGAATCAGGGTCACCGGATGATGAATGATAGCAATCGATTTGAAAAGCTCCAAAATAGCAATTATGATATCATCGCAAAAATCGGCTATTTTAATTGTTAGAAAATGATATGAGGGTTTAGGGGTTTTCTCCGTTTCCAGCCTGAATATAGACATTTTGTTGGACCCAACTTTCGATGTTCGACTATACAGTCGGATAAACTCTTTGGGGATGCTTTTGAGACGTCGAATAGTGACACAACAAGTGTCAGCACACAAGTTCAGTGCATATACCCCTTATAGACTGGCTGTTAGCGGCTGAGTGACGTGTCTGGTATCATTTATATATCACTGGTTTTGAAAAGGCAAAATTAGCAATAATGATATCATGCAAAATTTGAAAAGATATCATCCGGTGACCCTGAATTATTGAATGTGCCCTAACTTTCCCCTAACTTTTTAAATTGACGGCCGGACGGCCACCCGGGTCCTTCGATTGGTGGCCCAACGGGCCACCCGACCACGACCATTGGTGGCCCAGCTTCGCGTCATAACCAGGATTTCGAACTGCTGGCTTAGATGCAAAAAATTCAAAATATGTTCACATGATAGAGCGCATATGGGACGTCTGCTATAGTGCTATAGGTACTCAGCTTGTTGTGGACCCCGGGCTGAATCAGGGTCGTATGCGGCAGCAAAATAGACCGGCTTCACCCTTTTTCAATCAAATACAATATCTTGACTATTTCCTTTAAATTGGCACTTTGAGCAAAGATTTCCAGCTTATATGACTTTTGACTTCTACCATAGGCCACTTCTGACCATCGATTGATGGCCCACCGGGCCACCTCGGCCCTCCGTATGGTGGCCCGTTGGGCCACCACCACCCCCCCATTGGTGGCCCGTTTTGACCATTGATGGTCATTTTAGCAGGGAGTGGGCCACCGGGGGAAACACTGCGGGCCACGTGTGCCTCTCTCGTAACTCAAGGACCAAACTTTAAAAAATGTAGGCAGCAAAATGCTGCAATCGCTCAATTTACGATGAGGCGATATCATTTCAAATTTCAATCCATTCGAAAACAGCTGAATCATACAAATAGTATAGAAAGCCACTTCAGACGCATGAAAATAGTTTATAAGACCTGCAAACATACGCTTTATACGTACTATAACCATCCACCGCCAATATTTGTATAATCGATCGTGCGAGCATCAAATACGTACGTCAGATTGCGTGTGCTCCTGATAAGCTATGATAAATCTAAAGCTTATCCCCTTTACGACTTTCTGGCGGGCGCGATTCAGAAAACGGCCGGCCGCGCGGCTCTGTCGGCAGTCGGGCGATGCAGACCCGACAGGCACGTGCAGGGTTCAGGGTTTAACCCCTAGAAAAAAGTTTTGCGAAGCATCGAACCTCAAAACCCGTCGAAAATGGGGGTCTGCAAAATCAGACCGTGAATCACTGAATTCTACGTTCGACGGGCCGAACCGGGCTTAATAGAGTGATCCAGTCTGCATCGCCACTTCCCCCTTTTCTGAAACCCCGGGGTCGATTGCGACAGCTCGGTACTGACTTTGTCAGAACCGGTGGAAGGAGAACGCGGACTACAGTTTGCAGTCCCAGAGTCCAGACCCCCACACCGCCTGGTACTTG